GAGCAAATAAAAATTTCTTTTTAAAATGACATTACCAAAGTGTATACATAGACAAAACTAGAGAAAAGTGAAAACTAAGTTTGCAAGCTTTTTATTTTTTCTAAAACTTTAAAACCAAACACGTGCCTGTGTGATTGCAAAACCTTTATACGCAATCTTGCATCTAAAAATGCTTCACACAGCTTTCTAACAAGATAGGATCTCCCAAAACTCAGTTTCATCAACCTGATGTACATAATGTGGCAACTTTCTATCAGGTAGTGTATCGTTTGATCAGCTGCGTTTTGGGTACTTTGAGACAACTGTGTGACTAAGCCCTACAGGAAAATGACGAGCTACGTAACAAAAGGAAATGAAAAACATGGATATGGGATAAGCTGCTTAAAATGATAATTTCAACAAGAAGAGGTTAACATCTTGGAAACAAGGTAATCATAAGGAAACTAACTTTTTATACGTATTTACAGTTTATAGGATTTGATCAGGTGTTATCGCTTGCAGTTGCTTGTTAATTTGATTCACACTCTTCTTACTTTTGTAGATTGATATAATACAATGTCTTCATGTTTGAATGGGGCTGTGATGATTGTGTGCCTCAGGCTGATACTGAGGCACACAATCTGGATTTAAGAAGTGAAAACATCTGGAGTTCTCGTTTTTTGCCGTTGACAGGCGGGGAGATATTATACCCTAACCTTCATTTGGGAGGCTACCAAAACAGTAATTTGATCTGCATTTACAACCATAATAACATTGTTTAGATACTTTTGGTTATCAAGTACGTTCCATTTCTCAGTGAGAGGGAATCCTTTAACACTCCCAAATAAATAATAAATCCATTTTTAGGTGCTTTGTAATTGTGTATAACATCATGCACATTATCTTTAAAGCCCCCAGTTCATGCCAGCTTTTGGTGATTGGCTTGGATGAGCAGCAGCTCTCTGTCCATCCTTGCCCTCACCCCAGTCTGCCCCTGACAGACTGGGGTGAGGCCTGTGTGGGTGGAGATGGTGGTGGATAAGACGGAGGAGGAATGGCAAGGTGAGGGAGAGATGGGAGCGCAGGTCTTGGAGAAGTGGGAAGCGGTGGAGGGGTGGTCGAGGCTGAGGAATGTTGAGTTGGACGTGCACGGACGGTGGCAGGAGAGGCGTGCGTGCTCCTAGAACGTGCTGGTTCAGTAGGACAGTCACTTATTTGCTCGAGCAGTGAAGGCATGTCTCCCTCAATCTTTTCGAGCACTGCAACCATTTGCTTTTCAATTTGCTCAATGACGCTGTCCATTTTCCAGTCGCTTGTTGCACTGCTTCCCCCTCCTGCATGGTGTAGGCCTGTCCTATACATCCCTACCCCTCCTCCGCTTGTGTAAAGGGAACTGTATGGACTCCCAAAGCTCCCTGCTATCCCAATCCCCACAGACACAGCTTCTGGGTTGTATGGCGTGGCATGACGGCCCAAACTAGCAGAGCTGCCGGCTGTATAACAACCATGTCCTGGTGCAGCAGCAGTCCTGGCTGTGCTAAACTCAGCACTGTATCTGTCTGTTTTTTTGGCATCCCTATCTCTTCTACCTACGGGACTAACATCACCTCTTGACCTAACTGCTATTCCTGCATCCACTCCAGCCCCCACTCCCACTGCTGAACTAACTGGTGTTCCTATTGACCTTTCTGCCACTGCTTCAGGCAGTTGTGTCTGACACCAGCTTCCATCAGTTTCATCCTTCTGTACATTTTGAGTGGTCGGTCGCTTCTCTGGTGGGGAAGATGTTGTTGTAAGAGGGCCATGAAGTGTTGCAGCCATCTTGTGCTTGCTTTTGTGCCCAGGAGAGGCTGATGTTTGTTTTTTGTCAACATCTGTGGCCAAAGAACTTTCTAACACCTTTGATGGTTCCGGGGCCATCTCCTGAGTCTTTTTCACCTCTGGAACAACTTTATTTTGACCCAAGTTGGCAGCAATTTTCCTGGTTCCATCTCCTGCTCCTTTCTTCATGCTAGACTTGTTGAGCTCCTCCTGTGCAGGCTTAGGTGCCAAATATGATTGGCCAAGAGGGTCCTGAACATCTGATGGGGAAGTTCCAACAGAGAGGCCTGTAGGCACATTCACCTCTTCCAAAATTTCTTCCATGTTATTGGTGCTTTCATCCTTGACGATGCCGCCTTGTGCATTTTCAACCGTGACCTCTAAAGACACACTGCTTGATGTGACCCCTCCATCATTGGTTCCTTTCTCTCCCTCATCACTTGTTGCTTGGGAAGTGCCCCCTTCACCACCCTGAACTTCTGCTGAAGCATCAGTCAGTGCCTCCGAGTTCTTCAGCCTTTGCATGAAGGTGGTTACACGGATGGCTTTCTGTAAATTGGATATAAAGTAAAAACAAGGTAAGCTGTGGAAAGTTGGGTTTACAATAAGCTTCAGAGACAAGTGTTTGATAAATGTCATTGAAGCAATATAATTTAGCATCGTTATACAAAGTACTGAGATGTCCTGTTGTGGAGTGAACATTAGTGCCAAGAGGCTAATGGCACTTACACACTAGCATTGGCTCCACTCCGCCCAGCCTGCCCCAGCCTGGCTGGGTTGATTACACACACATCCTTAGGAATGTAGACGTGACTGAGCATATGGGCGGTCTCCAAAATTGACGCGAAGATATCAGTGATGGCATGAACGCATCTCAGAGTGACTGTAGTTTTTCTAGCTGTAGTCAAAAATGGTGTCTGGCGACGACACAAACATCTTTTTGAAGAAAGGCTTTTAGTGCTTCTACTTGTTGTGGTCTTAAAGACATGTTCAAGTCATTTAGAACAGAGGAAAGAGCCGCAGCGAACTCTGCTTCAGTTACCATCTTTGTTGTTTATTAGATACTCAGCATTCCGGTGTGTGACTGGCTCGGTTAGAAATCTATGCGGGTGGGGTTATTTGAATAGAAGAGTTCCTATACCCAATGCTATGAGGAAGCATGGGGCTGGCTGGTCAGGCTAGGTGATCTATGCTCCACAGAAAAACAACTCAGCAGAAAATGGTGGTGTTTCTGGACACATTGCTCAGTTAATGGCCTTCGTCAGACTCCGAAACAGGAAATGTGAGAGGGGGAAGCATCTTTACTCTTGAAAAAAATAGTATGAGGTGAAGTGATCTGATTTAGCATTCAGACTACCGTATCTGTCCTTACACAGCTAAAGCTTAGACAGAGTGAAAGAGATGCGGTCTGTCTGTCTGTTTATGTGCGTGTGTGTGTGTGCGCGCGCGTGCACATGCTCTTTAGACAGACGCCTCAGGCAGAGGCCTCTCTCCTCCTAGGTAAACAGCATAATAATGAATTGTGCTTGCAGGAAGCTCCCGCGGGGTGATTTTATCCACCAACTGGGGGCTCCTCATAATGGTAGGAGTGAATTTGAGCCGACAAATCAGTCAACAGTGGGTGTGTTGGACCAGTTCAGCCCTAAGCAGGCCGCCATGGGTAGAGGGTTGAAAAAATAGACGGTTATGCACGGGGAAATTCAAGGTTACCCAAAAGAGAACACTCCCAACCCAGTCCAGGCGGAGTAGTGATGCTAGTGTGTAAGTGCCATAAGACATACGATGCCCCGGTTTAAATCAATCCAAAGACTCACTTTTCCCCCAACAAAACTCCTTGACTGTTTGCTGACTGTAAAAAGACAAGGTATACATTTACGTGCAGATGTCCCACTTCAGTTATAGTATGTAGTAATCTAATTCATTTTAATCTACAAACACTGAAGGAGTTAGGGAACATATGTGAGCTTAGCTGTTGTCTCTAAACCAGGGAGCTGAATTCCCTCGAATTCACTGAAAAAATGGAAAGCAATTGGATACAGTATAATTTAGTTGGATAGTTTCTACACATATAAAATGAACGTAACAACAGTATGGGGGCAATGAGCCAGGATTTGTGTAAGAGGAATGCCAGAGGGCCTTACAGTTCAAATCACTGCAGTTCAACAGTCAACAGTGGCCAACATCCTTTATTTCCTTTCCGTTTCTCTCTCTCCTTTTCTACACTAATTTGTCTACTCCTGTAAAGAACGTTGCTTCCCTCACTAATTGCTACCTGGGTTTTTAACAATCTAGTTCCAGAAACTAGTGCAGATGAGGAGAAAGAAAGGTGCAGGGGAGGCCATGTTGAACATCTGGATCTGATCCAGTGAAGAAAAGTAGGGCAGAGTGGATGGATCTCTTTTGGGACGGGCAGAGTGACAATGAACTGTTGCAGAGATTGAGAGAAACTTCAGCAGCTTAGACATGATCAACACATCAAAACTGACTCAAACAAAAGTGATTGAGTGGTTTGTCAACTTGAACAGCTCTAAACTCTGTTCGCTGGAAGGATGTTCCACCTTTGAAACAGATGTGAGACTGAATCATGCCAGACTAAGTGTGAGTTTCTTCTCATGCTCTGTCCTTTCACTCTCACTCATAATGTTAAAACAATACCTTCAACTCCTGGGATCACATGGGGAAAAAGAGAAGAAGTTTACAACTGTTACTCTTGCTCTAGATCAGCACTACCCTTCTCCTTCGTTTTCAGCATTTACACCGCTGGATCTCCTTATGCATTTCACCATGTTATTCACTAATTTGAATCACACCTCTGCAGAGTTGTGCAAGGATCTTAAATGACATCACGCCCCAATAATTCATCCTGCTCTATTTCATTTGATCCTCTCTTTGCTGTATTTTTGTTTATTTTTTTGTCAACTTCGTTTATGGTGCAAGAAGAGCTCGTACCCGCCATTTGGCCTTGGCAAAGTTCTTCTCAAACTGGGCACACACACCCTCCTTCAAGTTTTTCTCTGATGCACCATTCCCTGCAATCCTGGAGCAGAAGACAGAAGTAAAATAATAAACAAAAGCTTCATAAAAGCTTTAGTTATGTTTCATTATATATGCACATATTTACCATTCATGTCGAAGTGCATCTTGAGCTGAGATTCTCAACATCTGGTCCACTTCCATAAGTCGACACACAAGTTCTTTGGCTGAAAGAGAAAAGGCATCAAACAGGTGATATGCAAACTTTGATGACAAAAGACATACAGTGAGGCAAAACGTATTTAGTCAGCCTCCAATTGTGCAAGTTCTCCCACTTAAAAATATGAAAGAGACCTATAGTTTTTAACATTGGTAAACTTCAACTATGAGACAAAATGTGTAAAAAAAATTGCATTGTCTAATTTTGAAATGACTTATTTGTGAATTATGGACAATAAGTATTTGGTCAGTAACAAAAGTCCATCTTAATACTTTGTTATATACCTGTTGTTGCCAATGACAGAGGTAAAACATTTTCTGTAAGTCTTCATAAGTTTTTCACACACTGTTGCTGGTATTTTGGCCCATTCCTCCATGCAGATCACCTCTAGAGCAGTGGTGTTTTCAGGCAATGCAGACTTTCAACTACCTCCAAACATTTTTTATAGGGTTGGGACTGAAGACTGGCTAGGCCACTTCAGGACATTGAAATGGTTCTTACAAAGCCAGGCCTTTGGTGTGTTTGGGATTACTGTCATGCTGAAAGACCCAGCCATGTTTCATCTGCAATGCCCTTGTTGATGGAAGGAGGTTTTCACTCAAACTCTGATGATGCATGGCCCTATTCATTCATTCCTTTACATGGATCAGTTGTGCTAGTATGTTTACATAGAAACAGCCCCAAATCATGACGTTTCCACTCCCATGCAGGTATGGTGTTCTTTGGATGCAACTGAATGCGGTGGGATGAACACTTTGTCCAGGTGGATGACATCCTGGTGATTGTTGGGCGGGGCACGCTGCCTTCATAAGAGGCAGATATCTGCTGCTCACACACAGCTCTCTGATTCTAATCCTCAGCACCAAGCGTGTTTGAGGTGGCAACCGTAAGTAAAATCCAGTTTACTGCCTCATTAGTATTTCCTTTCTGTGACGGCCTATATGGTTTATCTGCAGTGAGAGTGCTGGTTGGAAGCTGACGCTTATGCAGCTCCAAACTTACCAGCCAGAGCAGGTGCATAACCAGTGTGGCCTCTTCCTGTTTGGAGGTTGTTTTCCTCGGGCAGCTGATCTCCTCCCCCGCTCGACAGAGGTAAGCCAGTAGTTTTGGGTAACGGGGTGAGCCGATCCGAGGGCTTTTTACAATCTGTCTGTCTTGCAGCGGGGTCAACCTGTGGTGCCGGCTGGGGGTAGTCTGCGTTGGCGGCACGCCTCAACGGTTCCGCCACCTGAGCTGTGTTGGGTCGCTCGCTGCTTCACCTTGGCGTTCCTGGACGATTGGATCCAAGCAGTGCGCCCCAAGGCTCCACACTGCTGTTTTGTTAATCCTTCTTTTAACACAGTATTTTAGCCCACTGCTGGGCGGGGGCTGCAGAGCGTCAGGTTGCCAGGGAAACCACTGGATCTCCCACACCGGTTAAAGGTGTAACTGGACCCATTTAAGGTAGTTATTTTGTTTGCTGTGCTTTTGGGTCATTTTGCTTTTCCTTTTTGTGGGTTTATCTATATTTGCATGTTATCCTTATTTCTGTGTCCGGATACATTTGACTGAGCCAGTTGGGTGGGATTTATTTAGGTTTTCCCTGTTTAACTTAACTGACTTGTGTAGCACCTCCCTTTTTTAATTTAGTATATTTTACATGTATGTGTATATATGAATTGTGAAATAAAGGCCATTATTGTATTTAAAAGCCAGTCTGTTCCTCTGTGGGTGCACCGGACCTACGTCCTTTTAGTTCTCTGGAGCCTACCAGCTCTGGGGTGTTGTTGCAACATTTTAACTTTTTAATATTCTTCTTAGTATTGACCCATTTTGCCACATAAGCATTCTTTCTCTTCCAAACTTGACAAGTAGAGCTTTTGCCAAAGAGTTCCATTTTGGTTTAATCTGACCATATGACTTTCTCTCAGTCCTATTCTGGATCATCCAAATGCTCTCTAGCAAACTTCAGACAGGCCTGCACATGTATTGGCTTAAGCAGGGCAACACATCTGGCACTGCAGGATTTGAGTCCCTGGTGGTTTAGTGTGTTACTGATGGTAGCCTTTGTAACTTTAGTCCCAGCTCTCTGCAGGTCCTTTACTAGCCCCCCTGTGTAGGTCTGGAATTGTTGCAAACCGGTCTTGTGATCATTTTAGACCCCACGGGGTGAGATCTTGCATGGAGCCCCTGATCAAAGAAGATTATCAGTGGTCTTTTATGTCTTCCATGGTTGCTCCCACAGTTGATTTCTTCACACCAACCTATTGCTGATTCAGTCTACCCAGCCTGGTGCATGTGTACAATTTTGCTTTTGGTGTCCTTTGACAGCTCTTTGGTATTGGCCCTAATGGAGTTTGGAGTGTGACTGTTTGCAGATGTGGACAGGTGTCTTTTATACTGATAACAAGTACCAACAGGTGCCATTAATACGAATAACGAGTGGAGGACAGAGGAGCCTCTTACAAAAGAAGTTAAAAGTGTGTGAGAGACAGAAATTTTGCCTGTTTGTAGGAGATTAAAAATGTATTTTCTACCATAATTTTCAGGATTTATTTTTCTCATTTTGTCTCTCATAGTTGAGGTGTACCTATGATGAAAATTACAGGTCTCTCTAATCTTTAACTCCTTCACTGTCATTGGATGGATAAGCCTGCTGAGAATGTTTGGTGCCATGGTATGGATGGAGGAGGAAGTGACCTGCAGGTGATATGTCATCCCAATAGGGAGAATCGAACTCAAAGTCCCCGGCAACAATCCGACAGAAGATGATTCGATTATGTAGATCTGTGTTTTCCTCCTCTGTTTCGTCATAAAAAGGAGGATTTCCAGACAAGCTGAAGAAAATCACACAAAAACCAAGAGGAAGGATCATGTTAAAATGATGCACGTATTGTCCACATGTCATTTATTAATTTAAAATATCATATTCAATGTTTATGAGCAGCTTTGTGTGTATTAGCTTACAGTATAAACGTGATCACACCCACAGCCCAGCAGTCCACTGGTCGACCGTATCGATGACGAGCTACCACTTCAGGAGCTGACAGAAAAAAAAATTGAGGGAAATTAAAAAGTTTGCACGATAGGAAAAAACAATTTGTGGATTTTATGTTATGTGCTTTCACACATAATGAAAACTCCTCAGACAGCCTTCTTCTAAAGCCTTGATCTCATTTGAACTTTTCATCCCTTTCACCATCTATTCCTTTTCATTATTTACCGATTTCATTACCTTATTTGGCACGATTAACTGCCCTGCTCCTTAAACTGCAGAAAACCAGGCCAGAGTTGAGCTTTGCACTTCAAATTGCTCTAGCATAAACCTCAAAATGACAGAAAGGAGCGAGGCAGCACACAGAATCAAAGAGCACATGAAAAGAGGGGATAAATAGGAGGAGTAGAGCAAATGATGAGTGCTTTCAGTTTTCTCTTTATGTTTCTCTGTGAGAGTTTATCTTTGTCAGATTATCATCTTCAAAAGCACACAAAAAAGAAGAAACATCAAAAAGGCAAAGAATAGCCTCAAGCTTATATTCACCACAGAAAGTAAAATGAACAGAAAGATTCAAGAGAACTAAAAAGGGAGAAGATATAAAAGAAAACCAAGGGAGCACATACAGCAGCTAAGGTGTCCTACCTAGGTACTCAGGTGTTCCACAGGGCTCTGTGATGGGTCCGTTCTCAAATCTGGACAGGTAAAAATCTCGCAGAACTACCCTGTTATGGTTGTTTTCTGTGTAGTACATCAGGTTTTCGAGCTACGTTATAGAAAAAGAAAATAGATTAATGTTATAAACTGACAAACTAAAGTTTTACAATTTGGACTTCAGGTTCAGCTTTACAGGAAGAAAAACACATTTAAGTGATGATTTTGTTGACTACATAGCTAATAAAAAATATAGTCCGTCATTATTTTATTTGACCAGAACAGACACTACCTGGCATCTGACAGGCCATTTAAATTATGTCTCAGTTTCTAAGTCTTGATAAAATATTTTTATTAATTCTTTTGGGCTGTATAGCTTCTATCCATTGGACAGACAAATAGAGCACAATTAGCTAATTCTCCTCTCAAGCCAAAAACTGTTCAGTGCTGCAGAGTGTCCTAATGGTTCATGCAAAAAGAAAATATAAAGATCCTGCAGAAACCTTGTAAAATTGGATGGAATAATGGTTAGCCTTTTCAGCAAATTGATATCAAAAGTTAGTGTACAAATATGCAAAATACTGGATACAAGTCTAATACCACATTTTAACACGACCTTTGTTTATGCCAGAAAATTATTTATATCTGCAGTTTAAAATGTATAGTCCTTTACTTGTTTGATTTAAGAGGTAAATAAGACAATCGTATTGTACTCCAAAGTGGTTCAAATGAAGGCAACTGGACTTCTATGGTTTCATGAAAACGTTTCACTTCTCATCTGATGAGCTTTGTCAAATCTGTCAGGAATATGGGAGGGTCAAGCTTACAAACTGTAGCTATCTATTGTTGCCTAATGAGCAGAAACTACCTATGAATACCCCTCATCCCTATCTCCCGACGAGTCACTGGAGTCATAGTCTCTATTGTGTCAGAATCAAAGTATTGATTAGCTGTAGGAGTGTGACCAAAGCTTAAACTGGGAATTAGGTTCAGAGCTCAATTATAGGTCTTGGAAAGGTGAAACCTGAGGCCTCCTCCTCTATTTAATGTAGGTTTTTCCTGTTTGACATAGATAGCTTCCCTTACTCCTCTCTCAAACCATCTCTCTTCTCTGTCCAGAATGTGTACTTTGTCATCTTCAAAAGTGTGTCCCGTGAAGATGACAAACATTCTGAACAGAGAAGATAGAAGTTTCTCAGATGAGAAACAAAATGTATTCAAGAAACCAACAAAGCCCAGATGCCTTCATTCAAACCCCTCTGGATTACCATGACCTGTAATCTGAGAACCTTCACCAGCACACATTCTACTTCTTTGTGGGTTTTCATCACGATCCCGCTAGAAGACATATAAACATATTTTCATTAAACTTTTCAATTATTTTAAATACAAATCTTAAACCAAGAACAAGCTCTGAGCAAGACACTCATTACCCAATAAATGAACTGAAAAACTAGAATCCCAACTGTGACACAATTCAACACAATTATTGTTGAAATATAAAAGTGCACAGTAAAAATTAAGCCAATTAATTAATCATCTCATATTTTCTTGTGATGTCGACTGATCAGGTGACATGATGTCAGTTTTCGAAAATAAACTCAAACATGAACACTTCTTCCCTCTACCAGCAGGTGGAGCACGGAGGCTGAGTTTTACTGTAGCTCATCCTAATGGGTCCTTAATGAGGGACACAGCGATACATTCAATTGAGCATCCCTTTAGATTGTTCTCTATGTCACACTGACACTGTTTACTTTCACAGCAGAAATACATATCCAGTTAATAATTGATTTGGCAGGGAAATGCTTTTATGTTTCTTCACAGAGGATCTCTAAATATTAATTCTTGCTTTCTGGGATGTGAAGAGGTCAGCTTATTATGTAAAGCAGTTTGCTTCGCTTCCTTCTGAAGTTCTGGAGATGAGGCATTTTATTTAAATCTCATGTACACACACGCACACACACACTCACAGATGCACTACATCTTGTTTTCTATCCTCTGGGGAGTCATTCCTTCAAATAATTCATCCCATAGCACATTACCCTTCACTAAATGTTATCAGATTCTAAAATGTAACCTTGAAAAGGTCTTCTTTACTCCTGGGACCTTCAGCATTAGTCTCTGAGGGGAGTTAGGATGCAGTCGTAGTTTCCATATGATGTAACAGAAAAATTCTCACCATGAGGCAGAAAGGCAGAACGTTGTACCTTTAGGTTCCTGTGAACAATGTTGAGGGAGTGTAAATATGCCACGGCCTCCAGGACTTGTTTGATGACATTGGAGGCATCTCTTTCTGTGTAATTGCCTTGGTCCAGAATCCAGTCAAATACATCTCCCCCTGTGGCACTGTTATCAATCACTCACACACACACACACACACACACACACACACACACACACACACACACACACACACACACACACACACACACACACACACGCACGCACGCACGCACGCACGCACGCACGCACGCACACGCACACACGCACAAGGTCAGTTCCCAACACGTGACCAAGTTCACTTGTTTTGCAGTGGTCTCAAGTATTAATTTCTTGTGAGTCTGTGGGAAAAACCTCTGACATTCCTGTTTCAGGAACTAAAAGAGAACTGGATCCGAGGTGAACATCAGACGCCAGGATTTGGAGACTTATTTCCTGATATTTGGACATCTTGCCTCTGATTGGCTAACAGCAAAATGACGCTGACTTAGATTTCATTGCAGCCTTGATGTTTTTTCTTCATAAATAACACCTGAGGGAGCCATGTTGTGGAGTTACTAATGCGAACGGTTAACTTATAGTAGCCGAGACATGCTTTGCAACATCCTTGATGCTAAATCAACATAGCCTAGATGGGTGGGTCCATGAATACCAATTTAACAATGTGGTGTGAGTGTCACTGCTCTTCTAATGTGAGCGTTTCCTCATCTTTCTATCAGAGGACTATTTTCACATTTAGCCTCCATGCGAAACTGATCACATTTCAAAACTAACAAGTATGACACGGTTTCTCAATTAACTTGCTCTTTAACCAAATGTTGAGATGCACAAGCCACACGTTTTTGCCTGGCTCTGGTGGATCGATTTCACGCTCCCCGGTGCAGACTTTCCTGTTGCACTGCAATGCTTCAGGACCAACAAGTAATGTTGAGCGTTACTGAGAGCAAATATCTCTAACTGTGTCCTCTGTTGCTGAGAGGGGAACCAAAGCACATAGTAATAAGAGGAAACATTCAACTTCCACCTCTGAAATGATGGCTTCATCTGTGTGTTAAGATACACAAAAGCACAAATAAGACACCAAATAATGATGTCAGAACACTCAGGACAGAAAATGGCAAAAAAGCTTAAACTCACAGCTCCTGGATGATCAAGTATTCTTTTCGGGTCTCAAATGTGTCGATCAGCTGGAGGATGTTTGGATGATTGACTCTAGAGCAGCAATGAGGAAATAAAAGTGTTAAAGGGTGACAAGGGTCTCTTATTCTGCTCTGTGACATTGGTTTGTGTTATCCCATAATCAGTAATGTGTAATAATAACACTGTATCTACACTGTGTGCTTATTCTCTTGTTTTGCTACCCACATCAAGTTAACCTTGGTGACCTCTGTGATCTTTAGTGCTCATGCACTTTCTACAGTCTCACAAAGACCGGATGTGACCATTGTAAATATTTCCCTTCATTCATGCTCATGTTCTTATCCATGTTTCCTTTTGGTTTGCTATTTTTTGTTTTGTTCTTCTTCAAAATTACTTTACTGTAAATCTGCAGTTTCGTTGTGTTACCTATACAGTCACAATAAAAACCCTTTGCTTGTACAGTATTTGGATCTTAACTGTACTTTAATAATCATCATCATCATCATCATCATCATCGAATATACACATATATATATATATATATATATATATATATATATATATATATATATATATATATATATATATATAGAATATATAATATAGTGCTTGTTTAGGTATATGTCCCCTCCACTTTTTCCAAAGTCAGTTTCTGTCCCCAGCACTTTTTACCATTCAAAAACAATATTTCACTACAGGAGAAGGAATGAAAATGACAAACAAGGTGAAAAACAAAGTTGAATTGAAAGTATTGGAGTTTTTATTACTGCCACCTGTCTACCTGATGGTTCTGCATTCCTGACATTGCGTAAAAGAGCCTCTAGACTGTAGTTTTATACATATTTTTTGTATACTTACTGTAAAGACTTTGTCCATGGAAACATGGCATCTAATATGGCGACGCCCTGAGACTAAGACCCACTCCCATGTATTTTAGACCTTTTTTTTTTACCTGGCTTTTAAATCAGTGTGATTCACTGTGCTGCTTTTTTCGTCTCGTTTTTAATGTTTTTATTTGGTTGTGTTTTATTTGTTTTAAGCTGATTTGATGTTTTATGTTTTTATCTGTTATCGGAACTCTGATGAAGACAGCAATGTGGAAACGTTAGTTTTTTTTACCTGCACCTATTAAATACTTTATTTGACCCAAGTGATCCAGCCTTCCTTTTTATTCTTAAGTGGCCAGTACCAGCTGTTGAGCACCGGCACTCATTTGGATTAAGTGCAGTGTGTTTACTTCCTTCTATGTTTTTATCTGTGTCTGTGAAGCACTTTGGTGGCATGTAAGTGTCTGTAAGGTGCTACATAAATAAAGTTTGATTCAAGTCGAGTCGAGATGCTTAGATGTTGCAAAGCTGCCAATAATTTTCAACAACTGCATCATTTCATTCATTTTCAACAACATTTTGATGAATATTTCCAGAGATTAATGGTAAAAACTACACATTGCCTCTTTGAATGAAAACATGTGATTACAGCTCTTTTTTAACTCAAGAGTGAATTTTTCCCTTTCTATCACCCATTCATTTCTAACCAACACTCTGTTTGACTTTCTTAACAGCAAAGCCAATTATGCACATGTTCACAAGCCGATTGCATACAATTTCAAGATCATGATCTCATTCTTGGCGGCCTTTCGGACTTTCCTGCCATCTTTCTTGAGGAATTTCTTGCAGACGAACACCTTTTCTGTTTGTCTGTCCTTTACCAGGCACAGCTCACAGAACTCCTTCCTACACAGCAAGAAAAAAAAAGACAGATCAAGAGAGGAAGAAAAGATAAATATATAGTCAGTGTGTTAGAGTGATGCATTAAAAAAGAGCATGTTTGGTTGTGGTTTTTCTTTAATTACATCTGACAATATGACCCAAGAGAGATGAGGAATATTATTCAAATTAGAGAGATGCGGAACACTGCTGTGCTGGTGAAACACAGTGAAATAATTTAATTGGGAGGTGAGCGTATGGGGTGAATAAATAGGCTGTAAATAAAAGGTTTGCTAAAGATCTATTGCTTCCATCTGCAGGGCATCATCAGGTTTTTAGCCTCTGGGGCTTACAGTACTTCATTCAGATGGATTCCAAGAAGCAGCAAGATGAAAAATTAGACTGTAAAATGTCGCAATAAATCTTTGATGTACAATATTTACCATCAGTGTGCACTCAATGGTTCTATTTCAAATCTGCTTCATTAATTTATCTATTATGTCTTAATTGCTTGTTTCATTCCATGTAAGTGTGCATTGGAAAAATACAATCAGAAAGCTTTTTCACCTAATCTTATTCACTCCAATGCAGCTTTAATACCTTCACTAATTATTTAAGAGGTGCTCATGCAAGACAAATGCTCATTCTTATCTTATTGACTTTGTGTCTTCTTCAGGATGCCTGCATCTGTGAAGTGTGTGTGTGTTATGTAAAATCTGAGCAAATGTCTCTGAGGCCAGATGCTGATGTAGCCATATGGCCTCTCATGCAAATTGGTGTTTGTGCATATGGTTTCTATTGGGCCATTCCCATCTGTACCGGGTCGGCCCGGGCCGGGTAGCCCCAGTCGGCCCCAGCCTGGCCCGGTTGATTCCACACATCCTTGCCTTAAGCCCATGTGGGCTGATTCTACCCACCAATAAGAGGCTTGCTCTAATGGAAGGTGTGAATTTGCTGTCAGCAGTGGGTGTGTTGGCCCTGGTCGGCCTGAAGCAGACCCCCTCGAGAAGAGGGCTGATAATGAGCCTTGGTTGGCCCGGAAAAATACCAGGCCACCCAGATATGTAAACAACCTACGCTACCTGGCCCGGGCCGACCCAGTACAGATGGGAATGGCCCATATGTGTGTGTGTGTGTGTGTGTTCAAGCTGTTGAAGGAAATGATCGTTTTTTTTTTTGTTGTTTTTTTTGTTGCCATTTTAGCCAGCAGGGTGATGTACACAGGACTCTGAATGGAAACAACAAAAACATTTCCAAGAAGAACATCTAAACCAACTGCACAAACAAGTAGGATAAGAAAATTCTATTGACAAACTATGATGTGAAGAAAACACTTGGGAAAACGGGAATGAGGCAATGTTGCAGAGCAGGAAATAGAAACCCATGCTTAAAGTTTTATGATACTCACGCTCGAAGCACTTGTCCAAACTCATATTTGTCCATGACATCCGAGATGTTATTATAGGTCCGCCCATCTCGTAGGGCCAGGCATCCAAATGGCATCACGGCATCCACCTGATATGTGAAAAGAGAGAGATCCTAACTTTAGCAAATAGAAAAATAAATCTTCAAGTCAAAGTTCATTTCAATATCACATTTTAAAGAAACCTTATAGCTGACATAATACATGAAATATAAAATCAAAAGAAGATGATTTTACTGATAAATATCAGTAAAAAGCCTAAAGCAGTGATTTAAAACAAAAATACACCTCAGACATTTTCACTGAGTCAGTGTTCGTGACAGAACATGTGGGACACTACAAACCCTAAATCTTCTGACATATTGATTGTAACGCCCAAAAGGGTAAAATTTCACCTATATATCAATGAACATAATTAACCTTTCATCTACAGAAATAAATCCACTTTCTATGTGGCCTTCTAAATCCAGAAGGTTCTGCTCGGCGTGTGTTGACATTTCATGAAGACAAAACATTTAAACATTCTCTCCCAAGGATTCTACACTCTCTGTGAAAGCCAGACGCCAACATTCTTCACTCTGAATAAGTGAAGACTCCACGATTTTATAGTTATAAGTTAAATAATCATATGTGATGAATGAACAAGATGTTTAAATCAAATGTTTGAATAATCTGTGCTTAAATCAATTAATTTGAAATGAATATTGTTCTTACGATGATCCATTTATATCACAAATCACTATGTGTTTGATTTAACAAGTTAATCAGTGTTTACACTCATATGCATTACAATAAGATACATGTTAAGGTTAAAAACAATTTTGTATCTGAAGGAAGGCGTGGCTTTCTGAGGGAAGTTGGTAAATACTCAGAAACGTGTCAAATTCTGATTTGCCAAACTTGGCCAGAAATCATAACAAAGTAGTTTAATAAAACAGGATTTACTTCCCGATTAATTCAGTTTCCAGCTGACCCCTGATTCGGCCAAATCAGGAAAGAAGCCTCTTTTGAAACAAACTCCTTTAACCTTAAGTCAAAACCTTTCTGCGACGCTGCAAGTGACACAACAGACACAACAGCTCTTTTCAGAGCTATTTCAACTCTCAGACATCCACCTCAGACCTCTAACCTGCACACCCCGGCTTACATCTCATGGCCGGGGAAGCTGAACTCAGACGAAGTTACTCATCTCTGAGTATTGTGGTTTTGACGTCCGGTGACCTCACCGCTGTGGCCGCAAACCTCCAGACCGCGGGAGCAACTCATACAAGGGTATCCTAAGCCTGCGTACTGGTGTCTGATGAGGTTTATAAATAAACAACTCTCTAGTTTATAACAAACAACAACTTATTTTACACCCAGATTTCATAATTTCTCTCAGATACAAAGAACGGTTGCTACAACATCTTGCTTCCATCACAACACCTCACATCCACCACATCACATCTCCTTATGCATATCTTGTCATGTATCATTAGTTTAGGAAAAATAATTAAATTCATTTTAGAAACTATATACTGACTGTCTGAATTAATACGAAGTGTGTTTATGGTCCCTGAATAAGCAAAGAACCCTAGAATCTTCTGATTAAACATTCAAAGATCAATCAGATTGATATTTCATATTTGCATGGAATGTCACATCTTATTGGTCATAATTAATATGTATTAATTGCTACATGATCGATTGATCATCTCCTTTAACCTCGCAAATGTGTTACCATTAAAAATGATGCATGTTTAAATATTCATTTTGTAACATGTTTAGTTGTAATTATTTATTTGAGGCTTAAAAGCACTGTGATTGTGTGTGGAGGAGAAGGTGGGACTTTTCTAAAAAGGATCCTGAAATTAGAGTCCCATTAGCTGTCACACACACTGGTGTGTGTGCAAAATTTGTTCTCCGCATTTGACCCATCCCCTGGGGGAGCAGTGAGCTGCAGACACAGCCGCGCTCGGGAACCATTTGGTGGTTCAACCCCCCAATCCAACCCGTTAATGCTGAGTGTCAAGCACGGAGGCATTGGGTCCCATTTTTTCAAAGTCTTTGGTATGATCCGACCAGGAATTGAACCCTGATCTCCCAGTCTCAGGGCGGACACTCTACCACTAGGCCACTGAGCTGGTTGATAGTAAACCACTGTAAAGGGATCAGCGCAGGTGTGAAATAATCCCACTGTCTGGGCTTCCAGAAGAAAAAAGAAAACGTGCTTCGGTTTTAATTTCTTTTAGGTAATGGAGAGATGAAAGGATCAGAGGAAACCATGGACAAGCATATCAAAGGAAAACTGTTTCCTCAATGAAACAGTGTGAAATGACCCAAGTGAAGGAAACCAAAGACAACCAACGAGCACCACCGCTATTAGTCCTGTTGTTGTTTGGTATATTGGTGAACCAGTCACAACCAAGTCAGTTTCTCCACTAATCTGGATACTAATGCCTTTGGCAGCCTGGTTGTGTGCCAGCCTCGTCAACAGATCCTAAGCTTCCCGCTAAGCTTCTCCCTCCTCCTCTAAAGTCTGTAGATTCTGTGCAACGTCTGTTGAGTTCATACCAAACTTTATTTGTAAAGGGCAATGTTTGAAAAAATAAAATTGACCAGCTGGCTTATTTAGAAGACAGTGATGTTCCAGGAAAAGCTAACAATTACTGGGTTAAATTAAAAGATAATGACTTGTTTGCCATCTGCATTTGTGCTTTTTAGTTGCCGTGTGATTGAGATTGGTACCTCAGAGGAGTTGAAGCTTGCTCAGTTTGAATCTGCTATTCACCTTCTGTTAAAGCTTGATGTTTGATGTAATGCTGCGGTAAAGGTTCAGCACACAGAGCACCATCTTTAGAATGTTTCATGTGCATTTTAGGTTCTCAAACATGGAGCTTTCTTATCATGTCCACCCTGAAATAGAGTGTGACCCCTGCAGGAGGTCCCAAACACCCGAGTAGAAAATCAGGGATCAAGATGGTGAATCAGCAATCAATACACCATCTCACCGCGGTTCTGCAGGCTCTTCTCACCCACATCTTTTAAACACTTCATCCACTGTAAGGAGGAGAAGATTCAGTCATCTATCCTCAAGGCCCTCCTGCTGCTCTAAATGCCAAACTTTACCAATCGGCGTTGAATATTTTGTTACTGTTGTTTCTACGGTTTGTCTTCTGCCTGCACAGAAAACTGTGCAATTGTAAAGTCATAAACCGATGTGATTGCTGCTATTCGGGTGTTGGAGATAAAGAGCTAGATCGCTTTGATTCTGTGTTTTTCTGTGAGAGAATAAGAAAGAAGCGTAGAAAAGTGGAGGGTTAAAAAGGCACGAATGGGCGACATATAAAGGAAATCTGACATCTGATGCCATTTTGCAGGTGCTAATTAGAAAAAAGGATATCAGTGATTCAAAATCCAGATTGTGTGTGTGTGTGTGTGTGTGTGTGTGTGTGTGTGTGTGTGTGTGTGTGTGTGTGTGTAGATTTGATGGTGTAGATGATAGGGCCAGTGGTGCTTCAGGCCAGTGGTGGAGGAGGGGCCGGAGAGTGCTGCATAATCCAACCACTGGTCCTAATCTTTAATCTGTACCCCTAATCCAGAGTGCTGGGATGCAATGTGTGCATATGAGAGTGTGTGACAGAGCAAGTGCAAAGGTCAGTTCAATTGTGTGTAAGTGTGAGTGTGTAATAAAGGGTGTGTGCCTGTGTTTCTGTAAGTGCGCTCCTGCATGAGTGTAATATCCTCGTGTGATGGTGGTGATGGTGGGGGTGAGTGGTGGATTTCAAAGAGCTGGCTTTGCCAAAAGATTACGTAAATGCAACATTCTCATAACAAGGCCCGGGACAGAGAAGGCGAGGCTGGCATGATGTAAAAACACCTCATCAATCCCTGTGGGAGCAAAGAGTACTGAATGAAAATGTGCCTATGTGCCCAAAATAAATAAAAACAGTCACAGTTGTTTAAAACAATACTAATTCATGAACATTTTTGCAGAGCAACTCTACACAAATGTTCTGTCACTGCTGGACGCCAAAACTTTGTTCGACTTGGACCGGTTATGCAAGTATAGGTCAAAGATCAAACCTCTGATCTGCTTTCTTTGATGAAACGGTCCTTCAAACTGCACCACTCTGCAGCCTAATAAATATTTACCACCTTTAGTTTATAATTATTGTCAGACATTATCAACAATACTTATTGTGCAATTACATCTTGTGCAATTCCAGGGTTGTTTAACCACAAAACAGAAAGTCAACAGCAGTTTATAGGTGATCTTTTGCTCAACATTTGAACAATGTTAATGAGATTGTAGACCTCTATGTGTCATGGTCTGCGTCTGCCCCTTCCTTCATGTGCCTCCTGGCGTTTCTCCATCCTCTCTAGATTCCCTTCTGTGTCCTAGCACCCTCATGTGTCATGTCTGCGTCTTCCTCATGTGTCTCTGGTTTTTCCCATTTGCCCCAGATCTCTAGCCCTCCCGGTTTCTCAAGTCATTTCCTTTAGTTACAGCCTTTCATGATTTTGTATGCTTTTTCCCATCAGTGTTTATTATTCTTCTCCCCCCTCCCTTTGAATTGCAGTTATGTTTCCTGCTCTTTTGTATTAGGTTTTATTCTTAGGTCAAGTTAGTTTCTCCCCTGATTAGTCATTGCCTTCACCTGGTCCTCCTCCCACACTCCACACACCTGCAGCTCCTCTCCCTCTCATCCTCCCTGTGTATTTAAGCCCTGTCTTGTCTCAGTGTCTTGTCGGTTCATTGTTTGTAATTCTGTCAGTCTCGTCTTGGATTACTCATGTTCTTGGTCTTCTCGTGTCTCAAGTATTTTTGGATCTCCAGATCTTTATCTGGACTTTGGATTTTGGCTTCCAGCCTTTGGACTTATTTTTGTTCTCCTTTAAAATAAAGGATTTTTCTTATTCTTCATTTCTGCCTCGTGTCATCCTGGGTTTCTGCATTTTGGGTCCTCCAACTCCGCAACGTGACACTATGTGCCACAAAAAAACAACTTCCAGTTTAAGTTTAATTTCTGAGTCTCGACATTCCACCAATCAGCCAAATCTCACAGCTAGTGATGGAGTATTTGTGGGAAAAGACCACGCCTTCATCCAGATCAGCGCTGCTGAGGTTGACAGTAGGGCTGCAACAAACGATTATTTGGATAATCGATTAATCGGATGGGGTCTCGACACGATTAATCGATTAATCGGATTACATAGGGACATTTTTAAAAACTGCCAGGGAAACGTTATTTTTCTCCTTCCTTCACTTTATTAAACACAACATTATTAGAAAACAGTTCAATAGCAGAAAAACAACATGCCATCACCTAAATTGTCTTATAAGGTGTATAGACAGAGACCCTAAGCTACATCTATCTGTGACCTAAAATGCTTGGTCCAAATTAAACAGCTTAAAGAGCAAGTCAACCCCTACCAGAGTCTAACTCCACTCCCGCTTCATGTTTGAAAAATGCAACACATGCTGTTGCCTGGCAGACCGAGAGGGCGGAGCCGCTAACAAATACACACACACTCAGGCTCACGACAGCATTGTGACATCATAATGTACCAGTTTACATCATAGCATACTTCTTAGCCAATAGCGGTGGCAGATTTAAATTAAAATACAGTGCAGAGTTTTTACCTGACAACGGCACAACACTGCCAGTTTTAGGCAGAATATTTAAATTTTAACTAAGATGCACTGAAGTGCCAAATTATTGACGACACGTGTCTGCAGCACGATTAGACACTCGTTTATTTAGTTTATCAGCAAAAAAAAGTTTATTTGGGGGTGACTTGCTCTTTAAGGGCAATTCTCATCTGTTTTGTTTGATCTCATCTGTAGACATTTATTATAATTGGGGATGTCAAACAACTAATTTTTAAATGTAATTAAACATAGGCTGTGAATTAATCAAAATTAATCACTATTTCCAAAAATGACTGAAAAATACCAAATAAAACAAAAGTAAATGAATGCCATCCTCCTTGCGATGATGCCCTGGGCAACTGCCATAAAGTCACATCAAGAAATGCTGCTGATCATTCCAATGATCCCAAATAGACTCACATTAGGCCACATGAAAGCAAATGAACCCAAAAATATATTAACCAGTATATAACTGTACTCTCACACAACACGCCTGCAGCAACAGTTAGGACTCCTCCCTCCCTTTTAAAAGCGTTTTTGCTTCTGAGGACATTGTGGTTGAAAAACCACATGCTAGTAGTCTGGCCCCGGTGTAATCAACCAGTTTCTGCGGGAATGTGACGGCGGAACCGGTTCGCAGCGGCGCGAGTCCCCCCCCCCCCCCCCCCCCCCCCCCCCCCCCCCCCCCGACTATCAAATAGCGTCGCGCTTACAATTTTATAGACTTTTTTTACGAGCTTAGGGCATGTCTAGCCTGTGTAATAATCTGGGGCTTGGGTGAATCACTTTTGAAAAGTTTTTAACTTACCCGGACACCGAGCTCTCTCCTTCCTCGCTGATGATTCTGACATGCTTGCGTTTAAGACGCTGCATCATCACCGTAGTATCCCCGTGCCATGCTAAGTCTGACCTACAAACGTTGCATGTCTTCGCCTGATTTAACTGAAAATGCTCCCAAACTTTAGAAGTTTTAACTTTTTTGGGGTCTCGCTGCTTCTGCCATGTTCCTCTTACAAACACCTGCCGGCTCTCCACCGGTCTGCGCGCAACGGCGGGCGGGAGGGGAGGGGGCTTTTGGAAGAGTTGCGCAACACAACGAATCGATGACGCAATTCGTTGCCAACGCTTTTAGTAATCGATTTTCATCGAATTCATCGATTCGTTGTTGCAGCCCTAGTTGACAGCGTGATGAGTTTCTTCCACAGCCAGTTTTAAGACCTCTGCCATCTGTGGCCCCATCTGCAGAATGGGAGAGTCTGATCACTTTGTCTCCAGGCTTTTGCAGAATGATGGCATTATCACTGAGAACTTCTTAGTGAGACTCTGAAGACATACAAACTTTTCAGAATAAAATGTGCAGAATAGGGCTTAGTTACGCAGCTGCAACAATGTCTCCGGACACTAAAATGAGAATTTGACAACATTTTTAGGTAAACAATTTTCCTACTAGTCAAGTTTATTATATAGCCCATTTCATACACAACGGTAGCCCAATGTGCTTCACATAGTTAAAACAATCACAGCTTTAAATGTCACATCATGTTATGTATATAATAAAATCAAGGAGTATTGATACAGGACAGAGTACACAAAAATAAGAGTACTAAGTAAAAATTTTACTAAAAATTATAAAACAACAATAAAGCTGCACATATTAAGACATAAGAATGTTTTGCTGAGATAGACTTAAATCGGACAGAAGTGTTGTTCTGTCTACCGATGAAATGTAACCAATGAAAGTCAGACATTGCTTTTCAAGCATGGTTCAATCAATAGCATTATATATAAAAAAAAAACCTCATGGAGCAGGCCTGGAAAATAATGATGGCAACCCTAGAAAATAATGTGACCAAAGGGACATGTTAATTCAAGGTGTGTACACTAATTAGCATCACACATGTCTACAATCATGCTATTTTAAACCTCTGAGAGCAAAGGTAGGCACAGTTTATGATGAAAAAATTACAGTTGGCACATTTAAAATGTCATTTCTCTTAAATATGAGTTATTTTCAGTGAAGCTCCGCCCATGCACACTCCAACAAAATACACCTGCAACAGCATTTTAGACAAACGTGCTATTGAATTGGCCTTGGTAGTCCAGTGGTTTAAGCATCTAGCACACTGGACTACCACGTTTGTTACATAACAATACACGCCTAACTCACATATCCTGTGCCTGATATTTGTACAGCGTTTTTTTTTTTGCCCCCAATGCAGGAGAAATTTGTTAGCATGTCCACAGAACATTCAGGTTTCAGAACCGAGATCACCAGCTTCAGGGGGAGGAGAAATGCCTGATGACGCAGGTGGGCTACTTTCTTCCGTTTGCAGGAAAAATCTTTACATCGACCAAATTGCAGCTGAGTCAGGAAAATTAATGAATGCAGCCAAAAAAGGGGATGGGGGTATTTTTCATGAGGAAATGACAACATAACATAATTAAAAGCTCCAGACAGTAGATTTTTCATTACATGGATCTTATAAATCAGCACAATTTAGAGGAAGATTGAAAGATGCTGGTTGGGAAAATGAATAAATGGTAAATGGCCTGCATTTGATATAGCACCTTCCAGAGTCCTGGAACCCCCCAAGGTCTTTGGTACGTTCTTTCTGTGTTTGGCTTTTAATTCCATTGTTGGTTCTTTTTTAAAACTGTGTTTAAAAAAGAACCAACAATGGAATTACCCCCCAAGGTGCTTTACACAATCAGTCCAATCCAATTTTATTTATGTAGCACATTTAAAAACAGTATGTCAGCTGACCAAAGCACTGCACAGAGTTAAACCTAAAAAGCCATTCAAATTCACATACATATACATAAGACGCTAATTAAAAACTGTCATAAAATAGAAACACCTAAAATCAAAACAAAAGTTAAAACAGCCAATAAAAACCGAAGGCAATGAAAACAGAAGTCAGTAAAAACAGAAGAGAGGCACAGCATAAAAGAACGATCATTGGCCAAAAGCTAAATTAAAGAAATGTGTCTTTAGGCTGGATTTAAACTGGTGCCTATCTTCAGCGGTTAATAGGCAATCAGGCGGGGTACACCCTGGACAGAGAGCCAGTCCATTGCAGGGCAACACAGAGACACACAGGACAAACAATCATGCACACACACTCTCACCTAAGGACAATTTAGACCACATATGTCGGACACAAGGCCCGCGGGCCAGATGCGGCCCGCGGAGCATTTTTATGTGGCCCGCAAGATAAATATCACAAATATATTAAAACTGGCCCGCTGGCCGATTTTACCGCAAAGACTTCAACTCCCATGATGCTTGTGTATATGGACATGTGCGTTAGCGCGGAGCCGACGCGCCCCCTCCTTTGTGTTTTTTCCAGCGTCTGCTGCCGGTGTCTGCAGCTCCGCTGTCTCGGACAAACTGAACACTCCTCTCACTCAGCGCAGAGTTCACTCAGCTATTTTCTGACGTTGAAGCCCAGAAACGGAGATTCTAGCCGCTCAGTAATGTGTTCACGACTGAAAGAGAAAGTTTTCCAACTAACGTCCAGACAGAGCTGATATAACTCCAGCGAGCAGCATGACTCGCTGTCGTTGTGTTTCCTCCCCGACACACAACAACGTGGTCAAGCTGCTCAGACATGTTCATCAGCACAAACCTATGCGAGCACCTGTTGTCATCTAATGTTGTCATTATTATGATGAAGATGAACAAAACAACAGGAGTCTCCTCCTCAGCTCAGATCAACCCCATGATGCAGGTATCTGGCTGGAACAGGTGAGCATCACAGTAAACCAGTGGAGCAAACTGAGCTTTGAATATGTTGGTTTTATGCTCTTTTTCTGCTCCAAAACATGAAAGTTAACAGGTGAGAAATTGCATTTTCATTTAAGATAAAATTATATTTTTATTTCGTTGTTGGCCCGTGAGAAAAGATTTAACCTACAGTAAACAGGAAGTGGAAAGGCTGCAGATAGATGAATAGAATAGAAAATACCTTTATTGTTTATTGTTTATTGTTACAGCAGCGATGACACGTATTACAGGAGAAAAAAAGGAGAATAAAAAATAAGAAAAATGAACAAACAACAAGAAAACATAAATCCTGAATAGATTTAAAAAATGCTGAATATACCACAAGTAGTGAATACCACTGATGCATTTTATTTAAAATTGACTTGCTCGTGTGTAATTTGGTTATTCCACATTCAGTGTTAATGCAGAAATATGTTCGTTTCCAAATTTAAAGGTTCAAAATTGCATACATGTTGATAAAGAAAATGTGCAAATTTGCCGTCACTTTTTCAAAAAAATATTAAGTTTGGCCCTCGACTCTGTCCCAGAGTTTCATTAAAGCCCCGTGTGAGTTTGAGTTTGACACCCCTGATTTAGACAGACCAATTAACCTAACAGCCATGTTTTTGGACTGCGGGAGGAAGCCGGAGTACCCGAAGAGAACCCACGCATGCACAGAGAGAACATGCAAACTCCATGCAGAAAGATCCCAGGCCGGGAAGCGAACCCAGGACCTTCTTGCTGCAAGGCAACAGCTCTAACCACTGGTTACTGTGCAGCCCCAACATAATCCCTGTTAGAATATTAAATCATAATATTCTTAATTGTTAATCTTTTCAAAATAGATATTATGTGAATGTATTTTGTTAGAAAATGGCAAAAATAAACTTTCAAATATTAATTTTTCATATAAATTCTCATGTGCATCCCGTCAGAGGAAAAAATCCTTCAGACAGGGAAAATTATAATTATTGCTTCAAAACAAAACAAAACAAAACAAAACAAAAAAAAAAAAAACATGGTCAGCTTTTGGGCATTAGAACTCCTGATGAAATTTGAAATGAAGATGAATCTGTGAAAATCTTCCATCTTTACCAAGAAACCATGGTGGAGAGTGGGAGGCCATATGGGAGGATTTAGGAGAAACGGAGATGGGAGAGAAGGAGTGAATAATGTGAACGGTGAGGTTAGGAGTGTGGAATTATGGGAACAGAAAGACAAGAAGAGAAGTGAACTCTGACTACGTGAGAAGGTGGTTGGAGAAAACCATACACGAAAAGAACAAAGTGTAAAAGACAGAAATGCAGAGGCAGGTTGAGAGCATCAACCTCACAGCTCCACAGCTGTGTGGATTTTTCCAGCAATGAGCTTGTGTATATGGACATGTGGGTGCATATGAGTACATGCATACAGGTTTTGTGTGATAATGGATTGTGTGACGCATTGTGCTTCATGTTGATATGAAAAATTCACAAAGTTTGACAGCACTAGAAAGCTTGCAAGCAGAGCGAGATCACTACAGGTGAAAGTCTCAGATTTCAGACTGGGAACGTGGCTTCACAGTGGGCTGAAACAACCCATGTGATTAGTCATGTGAGCAGCACGTCCTGCAGGTCTTAGCTTGTCTTTGAAGCTATTACTTTTTGAAAAATGACTTGAAAACATTATTTAAACTAATATTTTAGACAGTTTTATGCTCTTTCTGATGGATAATTTCCAAAATTAAAAACTGACTATAAAACCAAATTTGAGGAAAATCTACATTTTCACACAATAATCACAACAAAATTTAACATAAACTTCAACCTCTTAGAGGCTGGATGTCCTTTCATTAACCCTGTAAAGGGTCATTTTAGCACATGCTGGCTCAAGAAAATGATTTAAAAATATGAAAAAGTTGCAAAGTATCCCTTTAACTGCATTTCCATAACCGCAAGTCACTTTGATAGAAAGCTACATGAACAGACAGAAAAGCAGCATCATTTCATTAGTGGTGGTAGTGTGATGGACCGTGGCTGCTTTGCTACTTTATGACCTGGATGACTTCTGCTTTCCAGCAGAAAATCTGGCAGGTGAATACCTGACCTTTGACCTCAAACTGGAAATTTGTGATGGGAAAACCCTCTGCTGGGCCTGAATTAAAACAATTCTGTAAAAAAAGAGTTTGGTTGAAATTTCCTCCACAGTTAACACACAGAATTGATTGCTGCTCTACCAAGTGGATTTACAACTAAAGGATCAATGACTTTTTCACATTGGACCTGACTTATTTGGATAGATTTGTTTATCATTGCAAAAATACATTTAAAAATTGCATTTTGTATTTATTCAGGTTATTTTTGATATTGAAAGTTCTTTTCTAATTTGACACATTTAAGTGTGACTAAAAAACTGAAGAAATCTGTAAGGAGGTAAATACTTTTTCACAGCTCTGTAAGCAAAGGCTGTCAATCAGGTGTATTTATACAACTCTGAAGCACACGTAAGCCTGCAAATAAGTCGCCAGACATCTGAAAGATGGCACCCAAAAATTCTTAACAGGTGGCTTCTCTTCCATAAATGGAATTAACATGGGTTAGAACCCATATGGATGGCAAGCAGAGCAGGACAAATATAGTGAGTGCTAAACTTAAACCCAGCGTGAAAGCTCACAACATCTTTTTGGAACACAATAAATTTTTTTGTTTTACATGCAAAGTCGTCAGCCCCATTAAAAAGTATTCACTGGAGTTTCCAGCTAATTGAGATGCCAAACATCTGATCAAAATCTAAGCGTGATAAATGATCACAACAGTTCATAATCATCAAGTAGAGCCTTAAAGACTTTGGATGAAAACGAAGAAATATTATTGTCCTTTGAGACATATTTAATAGAGCTGGAGCTCTGAGAAG